CCGGTAGTGACGTCATGGCTGTCGCCGGCCAACGAGTTGGTGTTTTTTCAATGTATGCTTCAGACATGGGTCACGACGAGGCGTTACCCATAGCGACCCCTAGAGGACGCAGTGTCTCGTTCCCTACTCAGGGAACCATGGTTACATAAGTAACCTGAGACGTTTATGTGGACACTCGTCAAGAAGTCATTCTGACATATAATTATGAATTTGCTGATGAAGACACGAAAGAGAACTCAGTTTTGTGTGCTGTCCGAGCTCTGGCTTTCACACTGTCTCACGCTTGTAGGGCTGGCCCAAGCCTTTATGGGCTTATATATCTTTTTTTCGTTCAAAACATTGATAAATATAAATATTTTTCATTAAGAGCTCAACTAACACATATTTGTTAGGACAAATGTAAAATAATAAGGCTACGTTAAATTAACTCATATTATTAAGTTACACACACTGGTGCTGCGAGTCATTTCGTCACCGTGATTGAAGGTGGAAACTGTGTTTTAGATAAGTTAGTTCTATGGACGCTCCTTTCCGCCATTTACCTTTTATTGCCGTTTCTTTTCCTTGAGAGACTGTGTATTTTGTCTAATCGACCGGACATTTGTCATCCGTTAGCTAGTTTTCTCACTCGACGCGCTTGAACCCTGACCAGCGAGTTCGACTGATGTTTTATTCACATCTTCCTGCTTCTTTTTCATTGTGTGTTGTTTGTGAGGAGTGTAAGTTAATTTTACTCATACAGCAACCGCGATTGCAGTGGAGGAATAAATAAATAATAATAAAAAAACATAGGATTCTACATAGGATCAGAGCCCTCTTAACGACTATCTTGCTTTTGAAGGAAGAAGAAATGGAAGAGATGCTTTGGAAGTGTAAGTTCGGCCCTCATATCTGTGAAAAGAGAGCACACTATTTAAACACTATCCCCCTGTTTCACAGACAAGCCTTAAGGCTGGTCTCAGACTAAAATGCATGTTCAAGCTGTCTTAACTGAAAACATCTACTAACACATCTTAAAATACACTGTTAGACATTTCAAACGGTTTTTACAGTAGCTTACTGGCAACACTGTTGCCAGTAGGTTACTGTAATTAAGATTTACAGTCGCAAACTGTATTTGATTTACAGTTGTAAACTACTGTTTTACAGTAAATTACTGTAAAAAATAAAATTAATCAGTATGCTATTGTAATTCATTCATTTTAATATAGATTTAATTTTATCATGTTTATATAGAATTCATTTTATTTTTAGAATAAAATTAGTGCTCTGCATTTATCCCATCCTAAGTGCGCACACACACACACACACACACACCGTGAACACACACCCGGAGCAGTGGGCAGCCATTTATGCTAATAAATATAAAAATACATCTGCAAAACTCAGGTGCCGCTCCAAATCTTGGCCACCACCTCTGCTCACCATCCACTGTTAGTGACAGAAATATCTTCTCTGAAAAACAAGAAGTAGAAATGGCTCACTTTTAAAAGGCAAACCCCATATTGAATACACAAACCTCTCAAAACCATAGTTGTTCTCTCACCATGAATCATCAGTCTCAGGGTGGCTGGCATGCTCATGTCTTTCTTGATGATTCGTTGCAGTTGCCTTTAAAACACAAATAGAAAAAAACGCAGTAAACCTTAAATTCCATTTAAAACTATAACAAGCTCATTTTAAAACTAGAAAGGCAGCTAGCCATAAAACTTGTTTAACCTAGCTAACATACAATTATTGGCTACTGGCCAACATTAACTACTAACACAAAATTTCACAGTAGCTAACATACTGTTAATACAAGATAATCGTTGCTCGTTAAAAAAATATTTTAATTCGATAATTCAATAAGCTGACAAAAGTAATTTGAAACGACAGCGCAGTTTACCACAGGAAAGTTTGTTAGCTCCATGTTGACGGGTAAATGTTACTAGGTTAAACTGATGTGCAAAAATCTGACACAAACACACAGACAAACGTACTCATATTTTTACCTGACAAAAACGGTGCAAAACGTGTTTTAAACGGAAACGGTGGTGCGTTGAACACTGTTCTGATGACAATAGAAGGCATTGCAATTACCAAATTATATGTAGACAGACTTAAAGAAGTTCCAGATCTATACATGTGCTCTTATTATTTCAGTTATTTTGCCTTTAATGTAAATAAACATGTGCAAACAATATACTTGCTCTTGTGAATTTATTTAGATGTTAATTACATAGTGCCAGCTGTCTCTTTAATACCGTGTGGTTTATATACATGTTGCTGCTGATTGGGCTGACATGTGTGACACACCCACCAAACAAGAGAAAACGCATCTCAAACCCCGTTGCACACCGTTTCCAGGATACATGTCGTTCAAACCGGAAACCGTAGCAAAACGGTGCACACCGGTTTGAGCTTGAACTTGCCCCAGATCTCATGTTTATATGTAGGTTTTAATACGTAACATTTACAAGCACAAAACATACTTTTTTTTTAAAGTTTTTATTAATGCTAAAACGTACAATTTAGATGTATTTCAATGTTTAAAACATACAAATTGCTACGTATTTTTAGCTAAAAAACGTACAAATATTTACGTGTCTTTTATATCATTAAGATATTCGTATCAATGCATTTTTATAATTTTATCAATAAGAGATTTAGATTTTTAGACCCCTGAACCTAACCATTTTATAGTGAATATGAAAGGATATAAAATGCAATTGACAGAAATATGCAGGAAAATAACAATTTTACTAACAATATCCCACTCCTACCTATAAACCTAAAAATTTCTGTACAGTATAGGAAAAACATGACAGACAGATAAATGCAATTACAAGCATTTATTTATTGCAGAAATGTTAAAAACCAAAAGTAATCCAAATGACGGTGCGTTGCACCCGCAGTCCTCTCTGGCGGAATACAGTAGGTGTGTGTGATCCAGAGCAGAATTTATGTTGTTAATCGCTGAAAATATTATCCAGATAATTTTCCCGATCCACTCCGTGAACTCGTGAAGGCGCGTGCATCATTCAAACACACATTACAGCGCACTAATAAAATTGTTTCATTTCGTAATTATGTTGAGTTTTTGGTGTATTTCATAGTCACAGCATGTCGGAGAAAAGCCTTTTGTGGCCCATGGCAATCAAAGTAAACATTACATGACAAGTAAAGGTTAAATTTTAAGGTTTAAAGTGAAGTCGTGTTTAACATTATGTAATGTTAGGCCTATTCTTGGAAACGAGCCGGCAGCAGAAATCACAACAAAACTAAATGTTATCATTTCATGTTAAATAAACAATTTAATAATGCAATTGAAAACAAGGTAATTGATATGACAACTAAAAACAACTTATAATAAAATTAATGCCGCGATTTCGATATTCATAAGGATTCATTTTTAGGTGTCGTCAATACGTCAGTTTTGTACGTTTTAAACCACATTTTACGTAAAATCCATAGGAATGTTCATGAGATCACGTTGTCGACACACAGCACAGATGTTCTCCGGAGCTCTTCCACTCTCGCGGGTTCCGTGTCTTCCTCGGACACATACTATTATTTGTCATATATACATATTTCTGACGTACAGTAGTACTCCAAGTGCTCGCGCTGTTTCTGACACGCATTACAAGCGATGCAACAGGTCCAGCAGTCAGTCCCAAGCTGTTGCGGCGTTGTGAGAAATGAGTAATTGATATTACAAAACAGTTCAACTTAAACTGAATTTTTAAAAGTTCAAATCACTTATTTATTTATTGTTTAGGGCAACCAGTTTCCTTAAGTTTTTTTTTTTTTTTTAGCAAAAATTAAACCAGTCATCACAAAACAAAGAATTTCTAATATTATTTCTTAAATGAGGTTTGTTTGTATTGTTTTGATTAAATCTATTTTTATTGTATTTATTTTGTTATTATTAAGATCAAAAATATAATTTAAATTAATTGATTTTCTTCAACAAGAAAAATATACTTTGTGCCAGGTTTTATAAAATAGTGTTCATACATAATATTGTTTAGAGCAAGTTATTGTTTTTCATTGGCTCAAGTTATAAAATATAGATGTGAACCATTACCCTTTTTTAATGGAATTAATGAAAACATGTTCACAGTGTGATATTAAAAGTATACTGCTGACACAGCTGTGTTCTTTGCGGAGTCCCTCCACTGTTGTACAGATTGAAAGGATGACTTTTTTTTAGATCTGAAACCAATCCAAAACTCCTTAAAATAACTTTGAAACAAATGATCTCATAACAGATTAGTATGCAGTTGCCAATAACTCTGGCTTAATAAAACCCATGGTTACAGAGCACTTAACTAAACTGTGGCAATAATAGAACACTCTTTAAATGAATTAAGCTGGTGTCTGTATCCATAAAATCTATCTTATCTTATAGACCATAAGTCTCTGTGAGTGATAAATTCATCCATATATCAACAATTTCACTAGAATTCATAAATTGTATACGTCTCTTACATGATGGCATACGGGGTTCTACATGATTTCTATCTAATCACTGTTCAGAACAGTTAAAATCCACAACTAAACTAAAATCAAAACATCCTCTGTATTACAATTCACTAAGACACTACTCGGAGTATCTAAAAAGCATTTTTCTGTTTATACAGAAATAAACAATAAAACAAATCTCAAACTGGGCTCTGATTTTTAGAAGTCTACCTTTTATGATCTCTTCCACTTGAAGAGAAGGATGGATCTTAATCAAATTGGTGGCTTGAAATTTCTGTTAACGTGTGATTATATTTCTAAAATCCTCCTCAAATGATCCAGATTTCACCAGCAAGCTCTTCTGGCTTGGAATAATTGTTACTCTCACACCTCCTTCACTTGGAATAATGGTAATATAACTGTTTCAAATACATCTTTATTTTTAACAAATTGGTTTAACAGAGACATTAATCATCTTATAAAAATGTTTGACAATTTTGGAAATCTTTTAACTTATGAACAATTCATGTCTATTTACAGTTTAGGGAATTTAATTAAGTTATTAAAGCTATTCCTGTAACACTTTGTCAGCTTGTCAAAAGTCATATTTCTTATAATTCTCTATCTGTGACAAACCCACAATTTATTTTAGAAGCTGTTGAGCTAACTGAGAAAAGATAAAACAACAAAATATGTAATATTTCCCCCCCCCCACCCCCCCAAAAAAAGAGGGATTTTTTAATTAAATTTTTTGGAGCTCTATAACTGAAAATATTGACTGGAGAAGAGCTTGGTTAATTCCTTTTCAATACTGTACTAATAATAAAATAAAATGGCCTAAACTTCAAAATTAGAGTTTATATTTAGTTTAATGAATATGAATTATTGCTTTACTTTAAAATATATTATCTTGTATTATGAAAACAAAATCAATAAAGATCTAGAATTGATTTATTTTATTAGCAAAATGTAACATACATGAACAAAAATGTCTTCATTAATCTCCTGTTCCTCTTCAGGAACTCGAGCTGCGTCGAAAACGCTAGGGGAACGCCTTCTGCGACCCACGCTCTGAATCACATGTGAAATCAGTCCAATAGCTGAACGGGATGTCACGGCGGATGACGTCATGACCAGGAAGCTATAAAAGCACGTGCGGCGGAGCCAGCGTCAGCTTTCTGTCATTCAGCGAAGCGCTCTCTGTGTGTCAGTCATATTTATTGTTGTCTGTCTATTGTGAGAAAAGTCTATAAGCAGCTATGTCTAAGGCTCACGCTAAGACAAAGCATGCAAAGGGCGAGTGCAAGCCACGTTATAGGTTGTGTGTTCCTCCCTGCCCACGTTATATCACGAGTGGGGATACACACAGCCTGTGCGTGGTTTGCTTGGGAGCGAAGCACGCAGAGTCGGCTCTTGAGGGGGCCGGCTGCCCGCATTGTGAGCGACTCCCACTGCGTACACTTCGTTCCCGGAGGGCTCTCTTTGAGGAGGGAGCCTTCGCCAACGTTCCTCGCGGTGCTGGCCCCGCTTCCGTCGAGTCGGCGCGGCGGCGGCATTCGTGGGGTTCGCAGTTGGATCTGGTGGAGGGAATGGAGACGGGCGAGTCCCTATCTCCTTCCTCACCCACCAGATCCAGTGCCCGATCTCTGGGTTCGGAAGCCCGTTCTGCGGCTACTTCCTCCCGGGGTGACGGCTCGACGCTTCTCCTGTCTTCCTCCGAGGAGGTTGACGTGGAGGACGTCGAAGAGGTTTCGCCCCCTCAATCGCCCCAATATGAGGAGCTAGTGGAGCTAGCGTTTTCGACGCAGCATCTCGTTCCCTCGAGGAACTAGGGTTACATACGTAACCTGAGACGTTAAATTTGTTTTGTTCTGATTTTGACTTATTTGGTTGATTATTTCTTCAATAAGACTGTTAAAAATAAAAAGTATGTTACATGTTTAAAATACTATAATACAATCTTTAATCCCCTGGTTCTTCATTTGTTCAGGATGAACGTGAGCTGTTCACAGGCCTCTGGATGTTTGTGCTTCAAGCTGCCCAAAACTACATCTGTATGAAACACTGCACACGCCCTTCACTGATGCTCATGTCATTATATTCACTTACAAACTGTTTCTGAAACACACAGCGGATGATTTTAATCTGTTATCAACTTCTACACTTAAATAAGGCATTATATTTACACGCGGCTTTGTTCCGTGGCTGATGCTCGCCTCGAGTTTGATCTGACCGGAGCAAGTTCAGTGATTGGTTTTAAATCTAACAACGCTCTAAACCAATGGGTGACTGGCACGCTCGTTTAAAAGCAGCATAGCGGGGCTCAGAAATCTATTATTTCTGCTCTGTATACAGAAAAGTGCTTGCGTCTGAAGATGAGCGGCAGAGGCAAAACCGGTGGTAAAGCGAGAGCGAAGGCCAAGACTCGCTCCTCCAGAGCAGGACTGCAGTTCCCCGTCGGTCGTGTTCACAGGCTTCTCCGCAAAGGTAACTATAATAAATAAAATAAAGTTAGTAGAAAACCTATAACGGGGTGTTTGGGGCATAAAAGTTGGACTCTGCTAAATAAAAAAGTTGAAGTTGACTGGTGTTTTGAAGTTAGTTTTTCTTAATGTAACATTATATATGCATCTGGGGTTTGGGCTTTGATTCTGAAAACAATCCTACACAACCAAACAAAATATGTAGGCTAATTTACTTGAGTTTCTGACATAATGTTTTATTTAATTTTATAAATGGGTCTATTTATAAATGTCTAAAATATTAATTGAAATTATGTAAAAATCATTTGAAATACGTGGATGAAGAATTGTTTTCATCAAGTTTTTGAACGATCCTCTTTTATGAATGATTCAGACATCAAATACATTGTAACAGTTGCGGTGCTCCCCAAAGGCTCTTTTAAGAGCCACCAACACCGCACTGAACGAGACGGTTTCCTCTAATGCTGAAAATAACAGATAGGAAGAAATGCTGTTCGAGTTTAAGTTTATGCTTCTATCAATCCTAGTTACCCATTACTACAGAACACCGACAAAACCGCAGAAGTGCCAGTGTTAATCACTCACTTTCGCAATGACACTTCAAGTAAATAATACCAAAGAATACCATACTTATTATATATACACTCATGTACATATTAAGTGTATTTATTCTACATTGTCGTTTTTAAACTAGCAAACTGGCACAAATCTTTCTTGCGTTTAATGTGTCAGTAGAGGTTGTAGGTTATAATAGCTGTTTATTTGCGGCTGAATTGAGAACCAATGGTTTAATGTTGTGTTTAGCTCTCCGTTTACTTTGGTGCAGGTTCCTGAGCTCAAATAAAGCAGCGCGCCTCTAAACAACAACGATGATGATGATGATGATGATCTATAAGCAGAGCGTCTGCCAAATGCAAACATGTAAATATTATCTTATAAGTCTTTGTCAAATGAATCATAAAACATGGATTTTAATACGACACAAAGCACAGACATTGTTCGATCAGAGTTTGGGTTTAAACCACATTGTGTACTGTTGGAACTAGCGGGGGAGGGGTGCGTCATGTGACGCGGAGCTGGTTTCAGTTAGGTCCTGTAAGCAACTGTAAAATGCCTCCCTGGAACACTTGTTTCATATTCGTTTTTCGTCCTGTGATTGGCCCTCACTCCGCTCTTGTTACTTCGAGTTGTCCAATCACAGTCGAGTTTCTGGGTTTGGTCTGTGGAACCACGCAATCAGAAGCGTCCACATCTCTGTGTAAATTAGCATAGGCTAGTGAATATAAACGGCTCTGTCCGGCTGTTTCTGAACATTGAGTCGTCAGCAGCGTCATGCCTGAACCAGCGAAGTCCGCGCCTAAAAAGGGCTCCAAGAAGACCGTCACTAAGACCGCAGCGAAGGGAGGAAAGAAGCGCAGGAAGAGCAGGAAGGAGAGCTACGCCATCTACGTCTACAAAGTGCTGAAACAGGTTCATCCTGACACCGGGATCTCTTCGAAGGCGATGGGCATCATGAACTCTTTCGTCAACGACATCTTCGAGCGCATCGCCGGTGAAGCGTCTCGTCTCGCTCACTACAACAAGCGCTCCACCATCACTTCCCGAGAGATCCAGACCGCCGTGCGTCTGCTGCTGCCCGGGGAGCTGGCCAAGCACGCCGTGTCTGAGGGCACCAAGGCCGTCACCAAGTACACCAGCTCCAAGTAGAGCTCCGCTGCAGCGCGCACACACAAAGGCTCTTTTAAGAGCCACCC